TTTGTTTGTTTGTTTGTGTGTGTGTGTGTGTGTGTGTGTTTGTGTGTGTGTGTTTGTGTGTGTGTGTGTTTGTGTGTTTGTGCGTGTGTGTGTGTGTGTGCGTGTGTGTGTGTGTGTGTGTGTGTGTGTGCGTGTCTGACTGTCTGGCTGGTCGCCCTCCTCCTGCTCCCCCCCTCTCTCTTGGCCCCGGGGCGGGGGCGGCCTCCTGCTCCTCGGCCGGCTCCTGGGCTGGGCGCCGGAGGCAGCGAGCGGTGAAGCAGCATCGGCTGCTCGCACGGCAGTCGCTACTTGCTGGATCCCCTGGTCGGAAGCTGGAGCCTATACATTACCAGTGGCGGGCCGCCTTCCAGTCCCAGGACTGTTGGAGGGTCGGGGGCGACGTCGGGGTGGTGCAGTGTATACTTGTTTCCCCGTTTTCCCAGGAAACGCTATGGAAAATGTCTACGCCAGAGCCCCGTATGCACCAGGCTCCGCTCTCTTGCGCAAAGGTCCGTGCAGGGCCGCACAACGACGCCGGTGCATGGAGCGCGATCCCCTACTTGGGGCGCCTCCCGCCGAGGAGGAGCTCGGGGAGGGCCCGCCGAGAGGGGGAGCGGACCACCACTGGGAGAGCCGTCTCGCGCCCCTCTCCCCGAGAGCCGGCCGGGCCCGGCCAGCGGGGCTCACGTCGGGCACGTCCCTCTACAGGGGGAATGTTCAAACATAGTCCAAAGATGCAATGGGGACGTTCGATTTTTTTTTTTTTTTTTTTTTGATATTTCTATTTTCCTCCAGAATCCGCCTGTAGGGGGACATGCCCGACCTGATGCCAGGCCCTCTGCTGCTGCGTGCGCCGCCCCACCCCCCCTCGGTGTTCCACGTGCCACGGCGTCCCCTGGGATCCTGGCGATTCAATGTTTCCGAGCCGGGCGATCTTGCTCAATTATTTCGGGCCCTGGGGCCCTCACGGCTCGATCCGGGCGCAGAGAGATGGGGTCCGGGGGTCAGATCGTGATTTTTGCGATGCTGCGATCTCTCTCCGACGTCGGATCTCAGGGTCGGCGCGGCCTTCGGCGGGGAGATCCGAGCGCCCGCGGCCGCGGGCGCGTCTGGGTTGGCAGGCAGCTCGCGCCCCTCCGCCGCGCGCGATCCTGCCCTGCTCGCCGAGCGCCCGCGGCCGCGGGCGCGTCTGGGGCGGCAGGCAGCTCGCGCCCCTCCGCCGCGCGCGATCCTGCCCTGCTCGGGCCCTCCGCGCCGCGCGGCCCGCGGGCGCCGCGCCCCTGCTCCGGAGGGTGCCCTCCGCAGCGGCCCTGCACCTCGGCGCCTGTTTTTCTTTGGACTCGGGCAAGTTTACTTGCATGGACGGGGGGGGGGGGGGCGGCAAGGGCGAGGGCAGCGACGAGGACGGAGACCCCGACGTCGTGAGCTCTGTGCACCACGTGGGCCCCCTGGTGCCTGTTTTTCTTTGGATTCGGGCAAGTTTACTTGCATGGACCGGGGGGGGGGGGCTGAGTCTGAAGCAGGCCGAAAACAATTCGACCTGCGGAAAGCACGCAAGTCGAAGGGCACTTGCACGCTCGTGTTCGATTGAAGAGGGGCGATGGGGGAGAGAGGGGGGGGGGGCGGCGAACGCCATGCAAGTAAGCTTGCCTGGATATAAAGAAAAACAGGCTCTCGGGGGAGTCCTCCCCGGACGAGGCCTCCGGGCTGTCGGGCGTGGCGGGGCCGCAGCGCTGCAGCGCGCGCCTCGCGGGCGTCGCCGTGCAGCTGCGGTGCGCCGCCAGCTGCCCGAGAAGGCTCAGGGCCTCCCTCCGATCTCGTGGAGGCCCGTTTCGATGTGTTCCATGGCCGGCCTCTACAGGAAGAATATTGAAACACAGTCAAGAAATAGCTGGGGACGAGTGTTTGACTATTTTTGTCAATTTTCGGACTATCTTTTTTTGAGTATTTTTCGTTTTTCGTCCAAAATCCGCCTGTAGGAGGACACGCCCGACCTGAAGGTGGTGCTCTCCTTCGGCGGGCACGGCATGCTTGCTTGTAGAACCTCCACCTGTTCCTTCGCCTGCTCGCCGAAGTCGTTCTGCATTTCCTTTTCCGCCTGCTAGGCGTCGTAGCTGCCCTCGTGGTTCTCCTGCATCAGCTGCGCGATCTCGTCCCCTACAGCCGTGTCGTGGTGAGCCCCGTAGCTGGCTCCTGGCTCCTGGCTCCTGGCTCTGGCTGGCCCTTGCCTCGCCCTCTGCCCCGAGTCCTGTCCGAGAGCGGGCTCGCGAACCGGGCCGAATGGCGAATCCGCGGGTCCGTAGGGTGGGCTCGTGCCGCGTCGCCGCGGCGGCGAGCTCGCCGCAGGCATTCACAAGGTCGAACGCCGCTGGTGGCACAGGATCGGCCAACACAGAACTACCTTTGAGTCGGGCCTGTCTCCCTACAGGGGGATTGTCGACGAAAAATAAAAGCCCCCCAAATGGTTCAAAAATAATCCAAAAATAGTCTGGGAATTATTCTTTTGGTTTGTTTTGACCTT